ATACAGAGTGTCAGTGTTAGAGAGTGTTAAAATACTCACAGCTGAGCCATTCTCACTTCGCATATGCATCCTTCACCTTTTCCCTTTCAGTGTTTATTATGATTAAGTCTTTCCTGTTTTCCTTTGTATATTTCCCTTATTCATGCAGATGAATGTTCGTTTTTTTACTGACACATCAATATGTATGCCACAGACATCATTTCTATTATGCATCTGTCTTCCCAGCAGAAATGGCATATTTCTCAGGTTGTGGAGTACAACCCAGCATTCAGAGCTAAAACTGGCTAAAGAACTGGTCTTTAAACCTGTGGCTGTTCTCCCTGCTTATAATGCTGTTACAATCCTACCTAGAAAAAAAAAAAACACTGCTGAGCTTTCTCCCAGATGAGGTATCTCCAGAAAGCATGTGTGTGCCAGAGTTAGTGAGCTGGACAGAGGAGGCTGTGTTGTCTTCTGGCATGGCTCTCCTTACTTAAGATTTGTGTGTCCTTGTTGCAAAGAGCGAGGCTGTGCATCAACTGTGCGAGCATCCTGAGAGCACTCTTCAGGGTCTGTGCTGGGGTCAGGGCAAAGCACTTGTATCTTTCAACAGAGAGGAAGACAAAGGCCTAAATTCATTGTTTTCAACATCAGTGCACATCTACATATACCACAGTACCAGCTGTTTCTTTTCTCTTCACCTCTTAGCTCTCCCCTCTTAATTTCCCTTTCTGTCATCTGAACTAAAAATACTCTCCAAAAGTTCATTTGGCCTCTGGTCCCAGCATCCCCGCATGAGGTGTCATCCCATCATCCCTGCTCTTTCAGAATATCCCACCCTGCTGACACATAGGCTCAAATCCTATCAAACGCAAAAAATCAGATTTCCTTCAGACACCTGATGCATCCTCTTTCCCCTGCAGCACTGAGCAGTTCTGCTCTGAATTCTGCATCTTATCTAACACTTAACAGATTTTGAAAGAGAAAGCCTACCTTGAAAAGACTTTCTTTACCCCAAAGCCTTAGTGGATATCAAGCCTTCACTGAACAAAGCCCTGAGCATCCTGGTATGATCTCATAACTAACCTTGTTTGAAGGCCTCTAGAGGTCTCCCGTCCGACCTGGATTATTGTTTCTGTAATCTTACCAACCAATGAGTGAGAACACCCACAGATCATGACTGGCAGAAAAATGATGGCCAAGAGACAGAATTCCTGGACATCTTCTGTTCATGATTTCTCCCCTTTGTGGTGGGACATCACCATAAAAATGACCAAGTAGATCACCTGGTTTTCATGACCATTCTTCTCAGTGCTGAGCCCAAGCATCATATGGGACACTACCAGGTTTTCGTAATCCAGTCTGGACCACTTTCAACAGGCACCTTTTCCCCAGCCTCCTGGACGCCAAGTCAGGATACACAGGAATCCTTGAAATATGCTGGATTTCCTTGTGTGTTCAGGTTAGCTGCTTCCAGGAGAGCATGACCAAAACAGAGCACTTGATGGCCCTGCTGGGAATTGCCCAACAGGGCTGGACAGATAACCACTTTCCTGTCTCCACCTCCTGGGACACAAACTTGGAGCTGAGATGTGGCAAGAGAAACATCCCTTGCAGCCAAGGAAATCACACCACTGAAAATGCTCTTGTATCCTCAAGTGCTTATGGCAGATGTCCACCAGAGGAAGCTGAGGTACAGAAAGCCCAAGACCCAGTCGGATTTCTGAGTGAGGAAATCTCCCCTCTTTGTTCCTATGGTATGAAGGGAAGTGGGACTCAGAGTACACTCACTGTAAAGACCTGCCCATGACAAAGCAACTCCTGAATTCATCACCTGCTGTTTTTTAATCCTTATGGCAACAGTTCAGCAGATCCTGGAGATCAGATAACTACTTGCGCTGAGAAGCAGCTAGGCTAACAGGCTGTTTTATACCACTTCAAAACAGTCTTGAGCTCCATTTTCCTGTGTGTGCATTCCCTACAGCATTCCTGATACTGCAGTTGTTTATTTGATGGCTTTATTGTCATGGCTGTCATTCAAACTCTAGCCTGAAGTCTGCTAAGAAGCCAGGAAGAAGGGAACTAGAGGGTTTCCTTACCAGGTGTCAAATGACAATTAAAATACATCCTATTTAAACTGGGTTAGAAGAAAGGGACATTGAATATTTAGAAAGCTTACACTGGAAGAATGTAAGGACTTTGTATATGCATGTATGCGCACTTTGATGGATTTATTGCTGTTTAGATCATTATACAGCATGTTGCCTGAAACAAATGTGCTATTAGTGCCTGTTTCTCAGGCTAAACTTGTGTTTGTCTGTTGTATCTTGTTACCAAAATAGCTGGCAGTACTGCTGGTCACCCAGAAAATTTGGCAGTATGATACAGCAGCAAAAAAAGGACACAAAACAACCTTCAGTCTGTATTGTGACTTTAATTTTTGCACTGCTTTAGTGTAAGAAGCCCAAAGATGATAGGCGCAACTACCTACTGAAGATGTATTTTCCAGCGAGGTCTCTGGTACCTGTGTGATTTGCTGGTTTATGTATACAACAGCTCACATGGAAACGGCATTCTGTGCAGAGCGGTTCTGTTACCTCACATATCCCATTAGCATTTCCTCGGCCTTCAAGCATAGAGATTAGAGTTGTAAACTTTAGTGAAAAGGAATAAAATAACCTCCTGTGGGTAATAACGCTTGGTAAATGATCCCCGTGCTGTATAACAGAGTGCATTCTAGCTAAACACATCTGAATGATCCGTGTTTCTCCTGCTGCAGCTAGGGATCCAGCATTTTGCCTGCAGGACCAGATCCAGTCTCAGTAATGCCTTAGAGTTCTTAGTCTGCCTGCAATGATTTCAGTGGAAGAAGAGCAATGTGGACTTACAGCACAAATTTGTATGCATTCTAGGAACTCTGTCCCTAAGAGCCCTACCATGTCTTTCATAGTGGCAGCTCTGAATCAATTCCTTTCCTCTTTAGCAAGTTGCTGATATTACTGACTCTAGAAGGTTTAAAAAAATTAAAAAGAAGAAAAAAAAGTTTCCAGAATAGGAAAATTTGATATATCCAAATTTTTTTTAGTGGCAACAGTAGTCTGGCATGAATGCAGCAGGAACTGTGGAAGTGGACTGGGAGTGAAGGTTAAGAGGAACACAGACAAGTAGGAAAAAAAAAAAAAAAGAAAAAAAAAAAAAAAAAAAAAAAAAAAAAAAAAAAGAAAAAAAAGCAGATATCCAGAAAGTAAGAAATTATAAATCCACACAATGGCAAAATTTTCCTTTCACAGTTTTGAGCCAGTGCACAAAATCTGCATTTATGATCACCCCTGATTGCAAGAAGTCTAACAAACATTTGCAGCGCTACTCACAGCAAATGAGTTGCCTTTCTCCACGTGTGCCCTCAGTGTTTTCATTGTCATAACTGGCGAACCCATGTCCAGCTCATCTGAAAGAATTTTTCACGTGAATTTTGTTGTTGCTGACTTCTGTGCACTGCCATTTTCCAGTCTCTTCCTGGGTCATGTGTCTAGCAACATGCACCAGGCTGCACAATATGTATCCCGAACATGTTGCTGAGTAATTCACTGGGAAGAAAAGAGACACACTACCAAAACCCCACTCACCCAGCTCCACGACATAATTTTATCAGAACATAATAATTCAAATGTCTTTGTCAGCAAGGTATAAATGTGCATGGATCTACTCATCAGCCCGAGGGACATGGGAGAAAATGGAACCACCTTTCTGTTGACTTCTAAATTAAGTAGGAGCATGGCAATCTCTGACCTCGGTGGCAAATGATTTTTCCACTTAAATTTAAAAATATTTCCTGGGAAGGAAAATTCAGATGAAAGAAAAACTTTCTCCCTGCAGTATTCCCTGTACCAACTTCCTCTATCTCACTAGAATGAAACATTAGCTTTTTTTAAGCATTTTATATTAACTTGGAGAAAGCATTAGGTGGATTGGGACTGCAGTTTCTAACAATATTTACATTTGGGCACATGAATTTTGTAAGCAACCCAAGCTGTTGAGCTCCTGAAAGGAGTAATCCTTCCCTGCCTCCCAGCTCAGTGTGCACAGTCACCTTCTCCTTGCCCTCTGCCTTCTGATTAAACAAGCATTAATGAAGCCCTGTGCTGAACAGAGATGGAGAAGAGCAAAAATTTGTCCCTTTGTTCATTAGTTTCCGAAATTGAGAAAATAGGAACAATGATGAGCTTAAAAATAGAAAGAATATAACTGAATAATATTGGTATAAATCATGGCAATAAAAGCAGGTTTAAGTTAAGGTAATGGAGAATCTGACCTTGTGTTTTTGTGCTTAAAGAATATCCCACATCAGTATGAACTGCATCTTCAGAAGTGAGTGTTGTTAGATCTCACCAAGTTCAACAAGCCTGTTTGCCACCTAGAAGAATAACACTGTTCTCTGGGTATTTTATTATGTGTATGTTACTGTACCATCCAGTAACAGTAGGAAGCATGGATGGAGATCCAAGGCTTTTAGCTACCCTAGAAGAAAGCTCCAGCCAACCAGCGTCATTAAGGAAATTGGGTGATGCATTTGCTCCTAAAAAATTCCTAATACAACCAGTTGTCTGCCAGCTTCCAAAAGCTATTTCCACTTCCATTGTCTGTAGTACAGCAGCACTCGGAGCAGCATTCCTCTAATCATTACTGCATTTCTACAGTTATAGTCAATACTCTGCTTTCCACAATGGAAGTGCATGTCTGAGAGATGTTAAAGGAATTAGGATGAAGGTGTACTTTTAGTTAACCTGCACTTTTTTTGCAAAAGTCTGTATAAGAAAATTATGTTTTTTGCCTTGAGTATATGCTTTATAAATAATCCATGTCCATTCACATACTAGTAAGTAAGATGTGAATAGCAAGTATAGAAGTATTTCTTATGACACTTGAAATTCTAATTACTACCTTGGTGACTTTATCTCACTGAAATGTCTTTCATAAGCTTTATTTTTCTGTGTATGTGTATGTCTGTGTGTCTTCCACAGGTTGGAACAAGAAATACAGAAATTAGAAAGTGAGGAATCTCAAATATCTGCCAAAGAACAAATCATTTTGGAGAAACTAAAGGAGACTGAGAAGTCCTTCGACAACTTGCAAAAGGTATTTAAAAAAAAAAAAAAAGCAAAACATTGGACATAGACTGAAACTGAGACTCTTAGCACTATTCCAAAGTAGCAGCTATAATTCATGCATTTACAGGAAGGTTGAGGGCAGTTGCAGAGCATTTATTTCAAACCAGGATGACCAAAAGCAGCAAAGATACAAAGGTGTCAGATCTATTTTGGTTTGGACTATTTGGATTTCCCCTCTCCATTCCAGCCTTTTCAAGAAGGAGATTTAGTACCCTATCTCATAGCTTATCTGCATGTGAGCTTTTGGAACCTAGTGAAAGATGTCAGGATGCCTGGAAGGAATCTCAAGCTTCCCCCTCCCAGTAGCACCCAAAAATAGCATCATTTGACATAAATGCCACTTTTGAATGATGCTGCCTATGAAAAACAGCAAGAGTTCTCCTTTCTGTTACAAACATGTCCCTCCTCCTTGGCCTTTAACTGCACTTAGACCTGAGGAGCCAAAGACCCAGTTACCCATGTAAAAGTGACAAAGAACCATAAAAGCAACCCTAAAAAGTTTTAACCAGTCTTCTTTCTTTTTTCTCTTCACAGACTTTCTCACACCAGGATGGTGGTAAGTGCCTTTTTACTACTGTTTATCTTTGAGTTTAACAAACGTTACATAGCTGTGTTGCAAAAGTTTACAGAGTGAGGATTCTTCCATTCATTGCGTGATTCTGATTTACTGCTAGAGCCATTACCTTTTTCTTTGATGTTGTTGTAGTGCAAGCACAAATGTCACTGTTTCTGTGGGGCAGCATTCCTTTGGTAGGGCTCCAGCGACTGCTATGTACATACTAGGAAAAATAAAATAAGGGATGTCTTAAAACAGTCATTGATCAAGACATCCAGATGTCTTCCAAGTTACTGACCTCTTCCACAACACGACAGCCCAACAGTGCAGATTCCTTTTCACCTGCTCAGTGATCTATGCTCCCCCTTCATGAGCTCATACTATTAACAAACTGCTAAATACAATGTGGACTACTCCTAATTTACAGCAACAATCTGCTTTTGATTAAAATTGGATTACTTCTCTGATGAAAGACATTCTATCTGTGACTACTGTCATTGAAGGAAAGCCTTGCGTAGATGAATGAGGATGCAATAATTCCTAGTTTATGAGCTCAATGTGACAAGATATGTGGTCAATCTAAATACTGCAGGTGTCTGGGTGAACAAAACATACAGTTTGTTGCAAAAAGTCTTGCTGTGCACCTCCACGACCATCAGGACCCAGGAAGGACAGCACATTGATCCATCTGCAGATAACTCTGTACTCCAGACACAGGTTCCCAGCACCCAACTTCAAACTGATAAGATGCAAATTTCTAGTTCCTCCAGTTTTTTTCTCTTTCCTGAAGCTTTTGAAGTTGTCTATCACAAAGTAAATAAATATCCAAAATGGCAAATATATTGTACCTGTGCAGAACGATAAGCTTCCTAAACAGGAATCAGTGCTTACAGGTATTAGCACGTAATGTAGCACCTAGCAGATCATTCGTTTGTCAACTGTATAATGTATGTTGCAGAGGAAAATGATAGGAACCATTTCATTTTACAGGAAAGCTGTGTAAAAACATACAGAGTCAGTACATACACCAATTGCTACCTATGTTGGCAGACCATTCAACTGATGCCTGGAAGACTGAGTTCATATATCTCATGTTAGTTCGCAGAATACATATTTCCCTTTATTCTAAATGTAGTGACGATGTATAAAGTGATTTACCTCACCAATGTATCCCTCTACGTGCTTCTGTGCCATGTATGTGGCGCTGACATAGCTTTTGCTTGTGTAAAAAAAACTGAGCAGAGAGCTCAGAGCCCAGAGAAATACAGAGGGAGATGAGGGGAGAGAAGAGGTGGTAGACAGTGATGGTCAACCCAGTGGCTCGGTATCCTTCCTGAGTGACTGTTTTGGCAGTGACCACCTATGAGCCTGAAGTCATCCAGACACAATAAACTCGAATCCCACATTTCCAGGGTACAAACATATTTTGCCATTATAGATTGCCACACAAAATAAAGCTGAGCGGAAAACAAGGTTCTGCCAGTGGTTCTGTACTCTGCAGTCAACCTTCTGCCAGCCTATGGTGCCCTAGGCCCACAGGAGAAGCTCTCCAGTTAAACAAGACCTGAGATAACACTAGGGATGGTGTCATTTATTGCTTTCCATGTCTACAGGCAAAACCAGGAACTCTGTAGTATTGTTCTGCATGCCTAGTGTGAACAAATAGAAAAGACAGTGCTCGCACTCCATGTGTGCGTATGTTTGTGACTCAGTGTATGCATAAACTAAAAGCCCCATTAAGATCCAACATGACTCTGTTGACTCTTTGCCCTGGGGTAAATTCATTCCCTGCAGCCTTAAGCCATCAGAATGCAAACTGCAGTCTGCTACTTCAGTGAACAGGCAAAAGCCATAGCTGCAGCAACTCTACAGTTTGCATGAGCTGTTTGAATCTTGTGTATGTTAACATGTGCTTGACAACACTGTGACTGAAAACCTGATGTGGATGGTTTGATTCCCAGCTGCTGGCTTAGCAACCCATCTAGTTTCCTCTGCTCCAATCTGGATTGACACACAGCCACCTGCTCTGAGCCATGTTCCTGATCTTACAAGTGTGGCGTGGGCTCATCATCTTTGTTCACCCTGCCATAATGCTCTGCAGAACTAGATGGCTTCACAGGGGAACAGCCCTGTCCTGAGTGCCAGTGTGCATGGCAGAACTCAGGCACCCAGTTTGTTGGTAGTTAGACATTTTAAAATAAATCAAGCTCTTGGAAAACGAGCTCACCGTGAGCCACTTTGAGCAGCCCCAAAGGTTTTGTTCTGTGTAAGCACCCTTGAAAGATTACCAGGCCCTATATGTGTTCTCAGTCACTTCAGTAGTCTGATAATGCAGAGAAGTGCCATAATCCTAAAATGTACCTTGTTGTAAATAGTATGAAAAGCCACAGGGCATGTTTTATGGCATTCTTAGATATTAATAGCTCATCAAAGGTTGAAATGGACCTACTGAATGGAGTCAGTTCAAATGCCTTAATTTATGACCCGTCTAACTTCTTATGTGAACAAAATGCTAATTGTGTCTCAGCTGCTCCTTGTAGAATTGCTCTCATATTGATTTTAGACCTTGTTGACAGAGAAACAAAGGGAGATAAGCTCTTTTTGTCCAGGGTTGGGTGGGGGGGAGCTGTCACAGAAACAGCCAAAACAAATCAAACCAAATATCCCAGTCCCTCTGATATCCCTCTGATACCCGTCCCCCCCACTACAACTTTCCCATTCTCTGGTAACTGGAGATTGTCTGGAGTCCTTGAACAACATTTTAAAGTACTTTATTATGTTTCTAAGCTGAGTCAATACTAGCAGCAACTGAAAGACATTGCCTTCTAACACAAGAGGCCAAAAAGTCAATACCTTACTAAAGTCCATAGACATGCAAGCATCACAGTGAGAAGTGCTTGGCCTACTGCTGGACAACAGCAGTGCTAAATGATGGGATGTGCTGACAACACCCATACATGGACAGACAAGTCTGTCACTCAGGTCATTGGATGAGTGTGCAATGAAACTGCTGTTCCAGCATCACATTCGGTGGGGTAAATAATTACTAAATTTCTGCCATTTCCAGAATACAAAGTGCCTTCTCGTTATGGCCCAGAAGCAGTCTCAACATTTCTTACTTCTGAGAAATTACTTCAGTTTTCAATACTAGCCTGCTCATTTGCTGGTGATGTTTCACAGAATAACAACAGAGAGCATTGCACCAATTTCTCACCAGAGGCAAGACACCCTACAAAAGAAAGCAGCTGTTACTGGCCACTGTTCAGTCAGCTGTGTCCTAAACAATAATTTCTCCTGGACCATATTGCTAAAAAGAAAAAAATTTAGAAAAAAGAACCTTCAAGGAAACATTGTGCATTGAAAATATAAAGGCTCAGTTGCCAAGACTGCCATTTGTCACTGAAGTGTGAAATAAAGCAGTATTTCCCCAGCTGAGTTTTTTGAAATTCATCTGAACTTCGGTAACAACTTCCTGACTTTCCTGAATGAATTTACACTGTGCCTCGTCCTCATCCTATTCTGACCCTGGAAACAGAAAAGACAGAGCAGGTCTCTTTCATAGGATCGTAGAATCACAGAATGGGTTGGATTGGAAGGGACCTTTCTTGAGTCATTTCCATTGCTCCAGTGGTGAACTGTCCTCTTCAGGACTGCAATTACTACCTCATCGTATCAAGCAGCTCCAGTGGCCTCTGCAGGCTACTAGGGCATAAAACCATTCCACTCGCAGCAGGCACAGCTGTCCTTCAAAGGAGCAGGTTTGGAGTTAGAGGTGACATGTTAACATGGAGTTAGAGGTGACATGGAGTTAGAGGTGACTCTTATTGGCAGTGCCATCGGGTACAACATGTGTTTCTTGATTTTTTGGGGGCGTGGATGTTGGCCAACAGGGAACACAGTGAACGTATCTCCACTCACAAGAGAAATGCCAGCAGTGATGTAGCCACCAACATGGAACCTCATTTTCTCTCATCCTTCTCCATTTCACATTCACTGTCTGCATTAATTCTTTGTATTTCACCTGCTCACAAACAAGAGACGCTGAGGAAGGCAGATTTTACCTCCTCTCCTCACAGGTGAACCAGGTCATATCAAGGATGCAGCAGCTTAATTTCACAATGTATCTGCAACGTATCCTTGGAGGACAACATATCTTCTGTGTCAGACCAGATGGAATTTCATGTTTGAACAGAAATTTCACCTTTTCCACACAAAATTTTAAAAATTCCCAACTGATAAGAAACTGATTTTTTTTCCCTGCTTCTTTTGTTTTGGAAGTCAAACTGAAAGTTAGTTACTTGCGTATCTCTCCTCAGATGTCTTTTGATTCAGCCACTGAACCTTAGCAGAAGTTATATTTAACCCAGTCATAAAACTTCTCCCAGTATATGTTTATAAAACATCTTTAATGTCTTTTCTAAAGAATATATTTAGTTTGTGGTAAACAACAGTAAGCAAGTCAGCCTTCCAGCAAGTTCTCTACTTTTTTGAACACTGTTAATGAACAGAGGCACTACAGAGCTGGCAAGAACTTAATAGGTGCTGCAGGGCACAATGTGCACCCTTCTAGACTATATCTATATGTTATTTCATTATTAGCTATATTAATATCTCTAAGCACAAAGAGCCAACTGGCAGTTCTATAATATGCCAACAACCCACACAAAAAGAACTGGCCTTTCATCTCTTTCAGCCAACAACAGCATTTTTAGGCTTTTATATCTCTATGTGAGATGTTTGTTATGCTAGATATTACTCCAGGTTTGTTCCTTGCCCACCCCATCTTTCCCCCCAACACTTCCCATATTTAAAGGTCACAGACTTGATAAATCCAGAACCTCCTGACAAATAATTTTGTGTGTTGAACTTACACAAGGTTTGAGTCATCTGGACCCATTCCCTCCTACCTCAGCTAGTTTACTGAACACCAATCACACGACTGTGACTTTGCATTTTGTTTGCTTTGATCCAATTATCTAATACAAAGCTCCAGCAACTATTGTCAGGGCTGACAAATTAACACTCTGCTGTCTAAGCAATGAAGCCACTGGGGCTCGAAGCACAAATCTAACTGTTTCCTGTTCTCTGACACCAGATGCAGTAAATTACATTTGCTCCCAGATCCCTGAACTCCCAACCCTCTATTCACGATCACCAGAGCCAGTTCCTGGGCGGGACGGAGCAAGCAGAGTAGCTGGTAAGTCTCAAGGAGCAAAGCTTTATAATACCAATCCAGTAGCCATGAACTCTTCTTTGTTATATTTCCTTAATTGGTCTGGACTCCCGATATCATTTAAATGCCAGGAAATGCTGTTTGATACATATTTTTCAAATAAGTCAAGGCTTTTTAGGCAGCAGAGAGCTCTCTCAAAACACTACATATTGACCAAACACAAGCAGCGTAGGAAATGTGTCATTTTTTGTGTGTGAAAACACTTAGTTCCTTCCATCTTTGCTTAGAAAAATACACAGTATCCACACCATGGTTTTACCTCCTCCATTGTACCCAAGTGACTCCCCTCAAGATGAATGAGACATACAAGCACTCACAAGCCTCCAGTCATGCTTCAAACTTAAATGCCACTTTATACCACTTTGTTACCATTCTTTCCTCTCAAGAAAAAGTGTGGGGAGAATTATAATTATGTGTTTTGTGCTTGCAGCCATACAGAAAGCATTGTAACACTTATTTTCAGACTGTGTACGTGTCCTAAATGTACCGGTGTGATCGTTAAAATCTGCACGTGTTCCTTATTTTAAAGAGCCTTCTTCTCTAAACAGCGTGTTCCTTATCTCAAACCAAACTGCTTGTGGCTACTTAAGAGGTGTCTAGAGGAATAAGAAAAGAAAAGGTGGTTATCAGGAAGAACGAGTTAGTAAGCATAACAAAGCAGCTTTTGCAGCTGAGACACTGTAGACCACTATTGGATATGTCATTTTGTTCAGATAAAATGTTCCTATTGCAAGCCGTACTAAAAGCTTCTCTTCCACCAGTGCTTACCCTAATCTGTCTGAAAAGCAAGTTTTTCACTGTATGTTTTGTGCCATTTTGTCGATACCAAGAATGCAAACATTTATTTCACTCTTTGGATGACCAAGAAGCCTTGTTCACATATCCCTTGAGAAGAGTATTCTGTGTATGAGAAGACACTAGCACATGTCTAGCTAACAGTCTACAAGGGTAACATCCATCTTAATACATTTTCAAAGTCTATTAAGATTTTTTAAAAGAATAGCCTCAGAATCCCACAGTTTAAAGCAATAGCGAGAAGCCAGTTCTTTTCATATGTACATTGGGATCTTGTTGTCATGAAGCACTGTGTCATGTTACACTTTAATTAAAGCTTGTACAGAAGGCTTGTCCCCATGAATACAGGCTGTCATCTTCTAGTACTGCTTTCAGTTTCAACTCCATTGTCAGACAGCTTTGTATTGTGTTAACAGAGCACATTTGCAGTAAATAAGCTCTTGCTGAATAAATTTTATAAATCTGCATTAGTTCAGTTCTCAGCTATGTTGACAAGCTGGACTGCTAGATTTTCCTGTAGAGAAGTAGCACTGTGCATATCAGTGGATAAACAGAGTTCTGTTATTCATTTCTCCCATGGCAATGTGCTTCACTAGTGAACAGCTTTCCAAGACTTTCAGATATATTTATGCATTTACTTGCAAAAGTAGCTTTGATGTGATCTCCAGGGTAGGTCATAAAGCACAAGTTATATCAAAAACACTACTGCTAAGTTATCATAGATAAAAAGAAAATGTTGACAGTGGCAAATGTTTAAGCTAATTTGACAAACATCAAATACACAAGGACATGACCACACTTGTGAACTTTCTAAATCAGGTCTGTCTTCAGCACAGAGAGTTCCATGCAGTGCTGGAACTTGTTGATCAAATTCTTCCTAATATGTAGGATATTGTCAGCTACACCCATTCTACAGTATCTAAATTTTTCATCTAAAGATACAGTGGTGTTCATGATGCACCACGTGATTAATTACATAATGCTGATGAGAGATTTCATTTTGAGAATACATTTTAAAATATTCTACTCCATGAGAATAGTAAGACTGAAAGAATGCATTTTATGTGTAGTTTTTAATCGTAATGGTGTTTAAAATACAAACATATCAAGCTACACTGACCCTTGGGCAAATTATTCTATGTTCACTTGAAAAAAAAGGCAGGAAGAAAGCCAAGACACCAGTTTTTGGTGTCTCAGGTAAGAAAAATCATGATTATGCTATTTAGGGTCATTGGTGAAGACGGTCATCATAAGTTTCACAAACACTTCTCATTGCTTGTGGTAGTTCGTAAGTGTCTGTGCTTGTCTGTTCAAGAATGTCTTAATCTATATGCAAGGAATATTTAAACAGATGAACACTTCTGCCTCTGGAAAATCCGTGAAGCCTTTACACATTTTTCTTTGAAAAGCTCTCCAGTGAGATGCCATTTTGTCTCAAAATGAGGGTTAGAGTGATGAATACTATTCCTGCTGTGTGGTCTCAACTATTTTCGACTTATTGCTGCGTCTTTTTTAACTGCTAGAAAAGTTTAATTGCTATTCTAAAACAGCATCCCTCACACACGTATTTTTATCCATTGTTTCATGGTGCTTTGAAAATTGGTTCATTATTACCTTTTTCTTCACCTTTCCCCTTTGGAGACGATGCTTAGGCTTATCCAAAGAAGGGTGGGAGCTCCTCAAGGCCATTTAATGTATTCTATTACCTTGCAAACAGAGATCACTGTTGAAGTCTTGGTGTGGAAGAAGAGATCTGTCCTGTCACAAATCTACAGGAAAAATTATCTCATTCCCATGTGATTTTGTTTTTCTACTTGTAGAACAGGATTAAAAAAAAAAAACGGTTCTTCACCCCTCTAAAATGTTTTGAATGCCATAGATGGAAGAGATAAGCAAGTGTAAGTGTTTATCAAGTCTGGGTGCTACTTGCAGCAAACAAAACTTCTTACCAGCTAACTGGTGGTTTGATGACAGAAAAGGAAAAGAATATAAACAGGTTGCTGGAGATTAGTTTAATTAGATTTAGTTTTAGTTATTATTTAATTTTGAGGCAAGTTCAGAAGGGAAATAGTGAGGCCAGACTGCATGCTGTCACTTCCCTTTGTCTAAAGTACACCTAACCTAAGTGCTCTTGGCACTCCTGACTGACCAGAGGCAGCCCCACATAGTGTGAGTTGGAAGACTGCATCCCATCTGACGCAGGTATGTCTTGCCTCCAACTACACAAGAAGCTGTAAATTAGTAACTATCTCTGTTCACAGCATTGCATTCCACTTCTAACGTAAAGCACTTGACCCTTTAGAAGCAGCTGACAGGAAAAGGGGCACCATAGTTTTCTTTGTCTGTTTGGCAATTAACCATTCACTGGCTTTTTTTGTTGTAACATGCACTTCCTTTCTTGTTTTCATTCAAGCTTTGTGCACCATGGAAATTAATGTGGAGAAAGACAAACAGACAGGAGAGACCAAGATTGTCTCTGCTTCACCTGTTGGCCCAGATGAGGCCCATCAAAGAGGATTCAAAGTCTATGATGATGGTACCAAGGTAGTCTATGAGGTTCACTCTGGTGGCACAGTGGTAGAAAACGGAGTACATAAATTAAGCTCAAAGGACGTAGATGAACTTATGCAAAAAGCTGGACAATCAAATGTAAAAGGAGGGTATGAAATAATGACTGTGTCAGACAGAAGTGCAGTAGCTGATGGAAACCTTAGCCATATGAAGGAGCAAATGCTCTTCAAGGAGGCAAAGCTGGAAATGGTACACAAACCAAACAAAGGGCATGCTGTGAATTCCCAGCCCCAAGACAAACCCCGTGGTGGCGAAGTTCCAGAAGCCAGTGCAGATCAACCAGTGACAATGATATTTATGGGCTACCAGAGCATTGACGATGAAGAGGAGACGAAAAAAGTGCTGGGCTATGATGAAACCATCAAAGCAGAGTTGGTTCTGATCGATGAAGACGATGAGAAGTCTTTGAGAGAGAAGACAGTGACAGACATCTCCACCATGGATGGGAACGCCGCTGAGCTGGTCTCTGGCAGGCCCCTGTCAGACACAACAGAGCCCTCCTCTCCTGAGGGGAAGGAAGAGAGCCTGCCCTTGGAAGCTGCCCCAGGTACACAAAAGAAAAAGCGCTGTCAATGCTGTATTGTCATGTGAACACCTTCTTCTTCCCCACTCCGGCAGCTCCTGCTCCATCACTTACCTAGACCTCATTGTTCTTCTAGCTGCAATACTGTGAACTGGAAGTGAATGCCTCCATTGCCTTGCAGTTGGGTTGCTTTGATTTCTAGTTCTTCAGGAAGAGGAACGCATGGTTATTTTCCCATCAGATGCACACTTTGGGGTTCGAGGAGTGGTTGGAGATTTTATTTTATTTTTCTCCTTAATATTGCAGAGTGAGAGATAAGTGGGAAATGGAACAAATGTTTTCATATTTATTTGATCTATACATATATATAATATATATAATGAAAACACTTTTTACATTTTCTTTGGATATCTGGCAGGCTTCATCAGTTTCCTAGGATTTTATGGGAGTCTGAATTTCACAGCAGCCAGATATGAGAGCCTTAAAGAATGTCACTTCTCTTTTTTAAGACAAAAATCACATTTAAACATTATTTTATAGATGCTACTTTTTATTTCTCAGGGGAAGACTTAGATCATTTTACTATTTTAATTTCCTAAAACTTCCTTCCTGAAAGGTTTGCATAGTTTTGTTTTATAGTAACTTTTCAGTTTAGTTTGCAGTGTCACAGAAATCCATCAGCCATTTCTGCTTATTGGTAATACCAAAAGTGGACCTTAATTATTCTTTCTAGAAAACATATGAATGATAATTTTGCCTTATATAAATCTTCCAGATTACAGTATTGTATGTGAACTTCATCTCCCCGAATTACAACAGAAAGTAACTTGACAAGAAAAAGATGCAGCTGTAACACCAAGTGAAATGGGGTTACTGATCTAATTACTTGCCTTTCAGTAACTCTGCCAATGTTATATGTGAAGTTTCCTGCTGAACTCCAGTAGAGGAGAGATACTGCTTTCTATTTCCCTAGAATATAAGTAATCTTCTCTCACAATCTGACCCTGCTCACACTGAATTCAGTGGGGAAATTCTCAGTGCTGGAAATGTGGGCAAGGCCAGATTTTTATTCTGCATTAGGAAACTGTTGTTTTTCACTGAGTGCACCTCCAGTGCACTGACGTACTGACAAGTGATGGGTCTGATCCTGACATGCTTACCTAGCCAAAACTCCCGTGGAGGCCTACCAGAGTTTTGTTTAAGCAGCTGTTTCAGAAAGCGATCCTAGCGCCGTAAGGCTGACATTTTAAAAATGCTGGTGGTTTTGGATGCTTCACTTCCTGGTGTGGGATACTTCAGAGAGGCCCGATTTCCAACAGATTTTTCTTCTGCCCTCTGAAAATCAGGCCTTTAAAAAAATGTCTCAAAGCTAAACTTTAAAAAGGTGAATGCATCCAGAATCAATAGATGTCTCTTTATTTCTCAGTCCATTGTTTCTTCTAACTACAACGAAAAAGCAGCCAGCTTTTTCGTGGTAAGATACTATGAGCCTGATTCTTGTCTCACATTGGTTTTGCTTAGGTGCAACTTCTCTCTGGTGAAATTAGTCTGGATTTGTAACAGTAGAAGTGAGACTGAAAATCAGGATTTGTGTTTTTCTGATAGTGTTAAAAATACTGAAGAGTATTTTGAAGTGTCTTTGAAACTATCAGACTTTAAAAATGAATACAACAGAAAAAAAATATATTAAAAAGAAAGAAAGAAAGAAAGTAACAACAAGCCTCTTTTCATTCTGAGGTGGTTCCTATGGTATTTCTGTATTTTCTTGGATGGTGCTTTTACTGCATTAATTGCTAGTTCAGAGCATCTGATTAAACAGTTCTTGCTCTGTACTCTTTTCTTTCTGTGCCAGTAAAAAAGACACTTGCTCATTACAAAGGTTATATGAGGCACACTAAAAACAGACACAAGAAAATGCAAAAGGTAGTTCCTATGTATGATCACTTAGCTGTCAATACAGAGTCAGTCAATGTAACTTTTCACCACTGCCCAGGTTACAGTAATAAAAAAAGAAAATCGGTGATTAAGAAAAGAGAGCTACATCCATCTGACACCTGCAGGAATTATGCTGGCCTCTGAATTTTGCTTCAGTGGCCTGATTTAACATGTAATAGATTTCTGCATGTTCCTCAGCCTCCGCTGGGGCTTTTGGATGAGAGAAGGACCAAACCCAGCAACAGAAACTCTGAAAATCATCACTTGACTCAGGCCTATGTGATTAACAGTTGTATCAGAGAAGAGAATGGCTGCAAGGTTGTGCGCTGTGACAATTATTGCTAGTGTCTGTTTGCTAGAAACTGTGTTGGAGATTAGCAACCTGTATTTTTGTTGGTTTGGAATGTTTTGGGTTCGTTGTTGGGTTGTTGGTTTTTTTGCTTTGTTGTTGTTGTTGTTGTTTTTCCAGAAGTGGTAACTATTTACAAATCTCAACACTTCTTAAATCAAGGCCATGAGCTTTCAGCTCTATCACATGGCTTCATGAGGCAGTCCTCAAGTTTAGCAGACCAAGGTGTGGGTAGTTGACCCCGGGGGCTGAGCTATCCTAACTCATCCTATTGCTATTCATCAGCCTGGCCGTGGTAATCCAGACCCTGACACCATCACACAGAACCATTTCAGGGCTTTTTGTGTGTTTCCAAGGAGCAATGTGAAGTCACTGCAACTTAGCTGAGGAGCGCTGACCCATGCAGCTTTAGTCACATCATCATTGCTTGCTCCAGTCCAGGCACTGTGCAATGGGGAAATAGCCAAGGCTTCAGCAGGGCATGCTTAGAACTTCAAGAATTGCAAGAACCTTGTGACATAAACCAGAGGGACAGTAAAACAGTTTTTACTTCTTTTCTGCACCATGAAAGCCTCTGGAGTCTGACTCAACCTACTCAAGAGCCAGTGTGAGGCCTGCAGACATGCTTTGCAGTAGTTCTGTCATTCTGGGGCCAGCATACCTCACCTCAAAAAACATCTTCTGCATCTCTCGTCCTGGACTGGCCAGTCATTCCCCCTCTGGGTGTGATCCTGCCTTCATGGCCACCCTGGCCTCCTCACCTCTTCCCAGGCCAAACGTTTTCCCTACCACTCTTCCCCTTACAGACATTTTCCCCACAGTCCTCTGCTCATGACATTTGGATTTGACTGAGGACATTCTCGGGTACCACTCCTTATCTGATCTGTCCATCCTTCTCTTCAGCCTTGCACTCCCCAGTCAGATGATCTTCTGGTTCAATACAGACTCAGCTTTTTGGGGATGACTCCCTTAGTGGCCAGCTTTGGGAGATGCATGCTGAGGCTGGGACCAGAATACATCTGAGACCATGTGACATTTGAGGCACAATGTAGTAGGGAGATGGTGGCATGTAAGAGCTCAGAAGTGGCCCTTCAGTGGTTAGAAGTAGAGCACAAGCCTTAAAACTTAAACCTGCCAAATACCTACTGCTCGGTACCTGTAGCTGACATTGAGTGCCTAGGAAGGCCAGTGTTTTTTGTGTTCATATGAACTTCATGGTTCACGGGCCATGACAGATCAAAAACAAAAACCTGAAGGTGAGTTGCAAAGGGTATGTCTTTGTTAGTCAATGGTAGTTCCATATCTGAGGTCAAGCAAAACACAAAACAAAAGCAAATCAGTCTGAACTCTGAGAGTCTTAGCTACACTGCCTGAAACATGCTTATTCCAATCATTTTCTTCTGCAAGTGCAACAGCCTTGTTGGACATCAGCTTGTCCATACTAGCCATTAGACTGCAGCCAAATTACATGGGAATTCAAGTGTGTTAGTATATGCTGATGAATGTAAACTGATTTCCAGGGCTTCTTTGAGCTTTGGAAGGCATGAATTTTTCTTCATGCCCTCAGACAGAAAGCAGCCAGTGGAAATATATGCACAATCAGATCTGAAGGAAAAGGTCCACTCTACAGTAAAGCAGAGAGAGATTTCATAAGGATCGTAACGGGAGTTTTTTGTATTGTTTTGAGCAAACTCCCTGTCTGTTTATCTTATGCCATCATCTGTACATTTTCTATTTCAGCATGAAGAGATACAAAAAGGTACAGTCAGAAACTGATTCAGTGTTAACATTTTGCCACAACGAACTGCTCGCCTTAATTTTTGTAAGGAAAACAAGAAAACTCTTTTCAGCATATCTTTTCCTAAACTGGAAAAAAGTAACCTATGAAACTTTTTTATATTTTGTATTTTCTAAGTTTCTATGAACCCGGTTTCCATGTTGTCCCTTGTTTTCATTCAGGGACTATTTATTTTCAAACCACTGCATCCTACTTCTTCTTTTTTTAAATAAAAAAAAAACAGAAGAAAAATACAAATCAGAAAACACAACATTAGAATTAGTGGCTAGGCAATCTCTTTCAATTACAAGAATATCAATACAGAAAGAAAAGAATTACAGGGTTATTTTCTTTTTTTATTTTCCCGTGGCTGATGTACTGTATGGTATATGTTTACAGAACTCCTTTGGTCTGCCTTTGTGATGTTATTTAAATGAATGACAAAGTAGGTATGATGTGCCATTTGACAGTTTGCCTTAGAACTCTTGGGTTTCCTTCTTTTTGTATCTTCGTTTCTTTTTTTTTTTTTTTTTCCCACTTTTTTTTTCCCCCCAAAAAAGTGCAGGCTGTATTCCAAAGCTGTATAAACACAACATTATCTTTCAATCCCCAGTAAGAGAAGAGTGCACAAGCCCTTCTCCATGAAGCGAACCTGTAATGGTGCAATAAAAGTCCCCAGTCCTGCAAACAGAAACACATATGTCTAACCCCAGTGTACGTAGGCCTATTTCAGTCAACAGGACTACTCATGGGAGGAACGTGTGTGTAGATGTCTGCAAGACCAGGGCATGAGTGATTAATACAGGGTGTAGTTTGGGTGTTATTTGGGTACCTGCACCACTTTCATACATGCTGAGTTTGCCCAGAACAGTCTAAACCTAGAGGCTAACTCTGAGTGTTGCTACTTCTGCTAAGAAAAACATAAAGCAAGATGGTGCTGAGCTGAGCATCCAGTGGGATCAGGTCCTGAGTCAGCATTGCTACCATGGCAGTGGTATTCTTGAGCA